ATTGCTCCAAGTTCATTGATAGTGATGCGCCTATTCTCATGAATAAGTGCATCTGCACAATCAGTGTTTGGCTTGGTGACGGATGTTCGCGGCTGACGATCATGCGGTTCATTCTCCACGTGTTCTCTGCCCTCTCTGAAGCACTTACACCATTCAAACACACGGGTCCGTGAGAGACACTCTTCCCCATACTGTTGTTGGAGTCTGTGGTGAATTTCAGCAGATGGGACATTTTCTCCAACGAGAAATTTGATCACAATGCGTTTTTCCACGCTCTGCAGTACCTTCTGTACGCTCATCCCTCTAGCAACTCTCAGACAACACTGAACAGGTTCTAACCCTAACAGGAGGGAGAGTGGAGGTTGTGGCTACAATCTCTCAAGGTTGCACAGTTGCTGCGCAGTGTGGCTTGTTTACAACAAAATTAGTCTCAAACATATTTGAACCACCTAGTATAAAGTAGTGCGCAGTGCACAAATGGATTTGCAAGTTGCAGTTGTCCTCAGAAAAGTGTGAAGGTAGGCTGATGCTGTGTATTCCGTATGCTTAAAAATGATGGAATCCCAAAATATTTTAAGGCCAAGGCTGGCTTCTTCAAATTTCCATGTGAATAATAATTTTATCATACATTACAAGTTTGTTCAGGGTCACAGTACTATGTTGTGTTTGCTAGATACATGGAACTATGTAACTGCTCTTTATGCAATTATTTATTGAATTACAATTAAAAGCACATGTTCCTTATATTTTTGAAGTTTTAATTTGGTTTACATGCTTTATCCATTACCACAGCAGTCGCCTGCCCGAATTGCATGGAATGTAATTGACATTGTGCAGTGGTTTTTGTGTGCGTGTGTGTGAGAGGAAATATGGAAGGTTTATTATGTTTCAAGGGTTGTGAAAAGTAAGCGGTATTTAGCTAGCTACAGTATATACCTGAATGAACAGAGATCCAGCAGTATTTTATTATATAAATGTTCCCTACCCATTGGTTAAATTGTGGTAACATGAGTTCAGGTTACTGGGAAAGTTTCCTATAACTTTGTCCTGTCCTTCCCCCCTATATACTGATATATTACAACTACAAAAAGAGACATTTTACATGAGGAGAGCTTTACGAAGTTCAAGGCTACAGTCTGCTTGTATGTGACATTACAGTGTTTGGTAACAAGGTACCAAAATTTGGGAGGAACCCAAGTAGAAGACAACACCGTATTCATATTACTATTTACCAGTATGCACTTTTGTCACATTCCAGAAAGCCATAACCTTAATACCAAAATAAGATCCTCAAATGTGACATTCTTGTGTTCCTTCAAAGAATTTGAATTCATAACCTAAATTCTATGTTGCTTTACACATTGATTGTAGAAGTTCTTGATTATGTATGACCAGTGTCCTGAGGCTCAGTTAAAATGGAAAGGGTAATTATATTTATAGGAGACAGTCCACCAGGTGCAATAACAGGAGAATATGAAAGCTTGCCTTTACATGTTTCAACTACTATTAGCCAGCACTATCAAGAAATGCTTTACTTATGTGATTGAACATAAATTGTCATAACAGGTCTTTACCAGCATTAGAAACTGAAATTATGTCAAAATAAGTTGGGGATGTTAAAAGTAATCAGTTAAAATCAGATTAAAAGGTCTTGTGTAAGTAGAGAAACATAATAAAGACTGCTTTCATTTATACCAGATTCTAAACGGTTCTGACGATGGTAGATGACACAGAATTACAAGGTTTTTGGACTTTTCCCATCGTCTGGGATTCTACTGTAGCTTACAGAGAATATCTTGTAGACTAGCATGTTGCATCAAATAAAGTTTGTGTGTTTTTCTTTGTGGCATCTAGATTCACATCATTGGCATAGACCAACAGCTGATGTGTCCCATTTAATTTCAGTCCCACCTGGTTTTCCTGGACCTTCCTAATGGCATATTCTAAAGCAGAGTTGAAAAAGAGTGGCGACAAAGCGTCTCCTTGTTTAGATCATCCTGGATAGGAAATCTATCAGACATATGTTTACCTACAGCCATATACCACATAGGCATTAACATATACAACAGAGTACAGTAAGCATCACCATACTTTATACAACAACCTATACCCGGTGTCACCATATACAACAGTGTTAATTGCGTAACAACGCTCGGTAAACACCCCTCCCCGCTAGGATTTGACGAGCAGCGACTGTTGCTAGGCAATCGGTAAACACGTTTTCTGTGTGGTCAGTGCGGAAGATACATAACGAGAGTATTCGTCAGTGATAACTATAGTGTACTTGTAAATGTGGATAAGACTGTGTCAAGTAAATAATCGCTGTATCCCAGACCCACGCGAAATTATTCGTCCCATTACCTAGGAGCCAGAAGTACGTTACCAGGTAACACGTTACTATATATAGATATCATCAATTATTTATGGTTTATTATGGCGATACCAAAATGGTAAAATGTTAACAGTAATAAGATGTAACAGGAAATAAATACGTCGATATTTACGGTCGAAAGTTCCAGTAATGAACTGCAGCTAGCTTCTGGAACGTACAGCACGGTTAAAGGTCTATTTACACCAGTGGTTCTCAACCTTTATGAGATCGCGGCCCAGTAAGTACTTTTTTATAAGACGAGGGCCCAGTCCTAACAAATTTACTCGTAAATACCTTTCCAGTTTTGTTAAAGTTCATGCATTAAGCTAACGTAATATTAGTAATTAATTATAGCATAATCATAAAGAGTATTAGTACACTTATGTATACATGTGGCATGTTGACAAACATAAAATTACATTTAAATTAGTTATCAATCACTGGACTAATGAAATCTTGTAGCATTTTACAGTTTCCTCAGACCATCATCATTAAATTAACTTGTGCTAATTTTCATTGACATATCCCATGCTGATCACCAAAAACTTATGTTATTCAACGTAAAATTGATTATTGTATTATTAAATTGATTTTAATGATGTTGGTTTGAAAAAAACGGCAGGGAGAAAAATATTTATGCATTGTAACTCACCATAGAAGTCAGCTGAGTAGGGGAAGAAGCAGAAGGATGTCAAATTTTTCGAAACACTTAATTTTAAGTAGCTGCCCATTTACTTACGAATCGATGCAGACTTTTTCTTCTGTGTGCTGGTGGTTTTCCCTTCATTTTGTACATCCTGGAGATTGCTATGTAGGCTTGAGGTGGATGAATCACTACTTGTTGCGTCACAAACACCTTCAATACGATATTTCTTAACACCAAAATTATACAAAGTTCCCTGTCTCTTATTCATATTAAAAAATCACTCAGCTTTCGAAACAAGCACTTACACACTGCAATGCGGACTTGCGAAGAAACAGTATTCAGTATACTAACTCTTAAAAAATGAGGTCTAGGATATTTCCCATCTCCGCTTAACATAGAAGTGAGTTATTGATATAATTGCTTAATTTAGAGCACTAGTTATTATTATAGCCAAGAGCACCCTTTATATTTAATATTAAATTCTACTACTCAACGTCTAATTACTATACACTAAATAGGGTCTACTACATTAGACGGTAAAATCTTATATATGTATCTTCTCCTTTTTTCCATATAGGTAGCTGTATCCACTAGAATTGAGTTTTATTCCAATCCTACTTATTATATTAAGGCCCTTTTTCACGTTTTTTCGACCAATTTTAATAAAAAAAACGCAAATTAACGGAATAGCCGTTTGAAGAAATTTTCAATTGACATATATCATAAACACGCAAATTAACGAGGTTTCGCTTAAAAAAATAATCTTAACCGCGAAAACTTCACCAAAAAACACAAAAATTCACGCCCATTTCAATCAAAAATAGTGAAAAAAAAACAAGGAAAAAAAAGTACACCAAGACCAACAGAAACACCCAACAACAAACCCGTCCCAGGAAGATTAAAAAATGTAGAGCCTGAATAAAGGACTATCGTGATAGGATAAAACCGGATACAGACTGCCTTGATCTTCAATTTCAGTGGAAATAATTTCTTTATACTTCCTTGCTGAGTCGTCACTGACATTTGCAACACAGATGTTATTTCGCTCAGTTCTGAAAACAGAGGATATGCCGCCCATTGTTGTAATTGGCTTGCAGGCAATTTTTATGACTGGTCATAAACATCGGTATTGCCTTTCCCGAATGTTGAAAGATTTGGATGTCTGAAAATTCCCGATCATTCATGAATACTTCCATGTTTAAAAATATGCGGCTTGGTCACTGACATTTGCTACACAGATTTAGGTGCTCTGTGTCTGAGCTTCTCGACACAAATATTATTCTCCTCAAAATATTTCCACTATAAAATATTTATTCATGAAAAATGCTTAGAAAATGAAAATGACAAGTTCCAGAAGGGCCTCTCTAGGCCCAGTATAATTGATGCCAGGGCCCACTACTGGGCCGCGGTCCGGCGGTTGAGAAGCACTGATATACACATATCCGTGTCTTGTCAGTACCGCGTCCGGTCACTTCCGTGAAATTTCATTAGTGTCAGTGATAATTCATATCATTTCTTTGAACTTGACGGACGCATCCGCACATCTCTCAGAACTTCGACCATAATAATCATAATAATCACCCGGGGCAGGCTACAATAGGCCATTCCGTAGCCGCCGTACTGAGTGGACCCAGTTGGACTCCACCCCCAACTAAGCGAATTAAAAACAGTACTTTTAATTTTAATTCCCATTTACCATAACAAATATGCCATGCTAAATGTGACTTTGTACAAGTTACATGTTAAGTATAACTATTTAAATTAATACTGACAACCTAGTACATATTGACAGCAAAGTTGCAATATGCGAAGCGTCATGTTCTTCAACCAATTGCATTGATAGATTCCAGACTTCCCGCTTGCGCTGAGAATCGGCATTGGCCAGCTCCTTAGAAACTTGTGATACGTGTTAATATACGGGGTGAACGATCAACTGTTGACCATTTCGGTACGAAGTGGGAAAGAAGGGAGTTCAGTTAGAAATTTTGCAAGAAGTGTTGGAAGCTACAAAGCAAAAACAAAGGTATGGCTTTGGAGTTGAATTGAAGGTATATACAGCTGTATAAAATGAAGAATGTGACAAATATTTGTTGTTGGATGTGAAAATTGTATATGGCATTTTATTGTTTTGACAATTTTTAGCCGTTAGTTTCTTTGCGGGGGTAATTTTATTGGTATAGTTGTGGTGTGCTTTTTTTTTTTATTACAGCTAATATTGCTTTCTGCCAACGTTAGTATTAATAGATTTCCATAATGCACAGAATTATATAACCAGGTAGTTGGGTTGTACGCCATATTTAGAGAAAATTAAAGATGTCTTTCGGCCCAAATTACATTTTAAAGTGCATTTTTAAAAACACATTCTAACTTGTGTTTGTTAAGTAAGGTCGGTAAACGCTTGTGCACGAAATAACCGTATTATGTAGCCAGTACCGATGTGAATAGCGGGGCAGTTGTAGCTAACTTCGAACACTGGGACTCCCACCCCCCATGTAACATTCCATTGGCCACAAAGCAGTTATCTGGTCTTGTCTCTTACGGTATGAATCAAGAAGCTTAAATTACAGAACATAACCCCCTTCCCGTGCAGGGTTAATATGGTGGTGGTGTATTTTTCAGCCCCAGATATGGCAAAAGCGCCAGCAGTTGGCATTGATTTGGGCACAACTTACTCGTGTGTGGGTGTGTTCCAACATGGCAAAGTTGAAATCATTGCAAATGACCAGGGCAATCGAACAACGCCAAGTTACGTTGCTTTCACAGATACAGAAAGATTGATCGGTGATGCAGCAAAGAATCAAGTGGCCATGAACCCCAATAACACAATTTTTGGTACGTATTAAATTTTAAGATTTAACCAGTACTGATTGTTTTCAAGAAGAGAATCAGAGCCATGTTCAGATGCTAATAATCTGTCCAACATTTTTTTATCATGCTACCTTTGTTAACTACAATTTAAATATCTATTTCACTGAAGCTAGAAAATTTCTACTTTCAGTTTTCTTTAGAGTGTACTGTAATTTGGTTTCCATTGAGTGGCTGTATGTTCAATTTGAGTTTGGTTTGTGTTACATTGTGAGTAGAACAGTTTTATTTCTTTTTCCAGATGCAAAACGTCTTATTGGGCGTCGGTTTGATGACTCAACAGTGCAAGCTGACATGAAACATTGGCCATTTACTGTTATAAATGAAACAGGGAAACCAAAGATTCAAGTGCAGTACAAAGGAGAAAGTAAGACTTTCTTCCCTGAGGAGGTCAGCTCCATGGTACTGACCAAGATGAAAGAGACTGCAGAGGCCTATTTGGGCAAATCTGTAACTAGTGCAGTCATCACAGTTCCTGCCTACTTCAATGATTCCCAGAGGCAAGCCACTAAGGATTCGGGTGCTATCGCAGGACTAAATGTCCTCAGGATTATCAACGAGCCCACAGCAGCAGCTATTGCCTATGGTCTTGACAAGAAGGTAAGTGACACAGTTGCAAGACTTGCTGCAAAATGAACTTGCAAGTTTTGTTGGTGTTCAACAGGTAGAACTCGGTAATGGGTGAATATCACCCATCCGCACCCACTTTGATTTCATGAATGTTCTTGTAGGATGGTCCTCTTCAGTAGCACATCAGGAACACTTGGTAGAAACCTCAGTATTGTCAGGGTCTAATCCTTAATTTTTGCAGGGTCATGGGGAACGTAATGTCCTTATTTTCGACTTGGGTGGCGGTACCTTTGATGTCTCCATCCTTACGATTGAAGATGGAATCTTCGAAGTCAAGTCTACTGCTGGCGATACTCATCTGGGTGGCGAAGACTTCGACAACCGAATGGTGAACCACTTCGTCCAAGAATTCAAGCGCAAATACAAAAAGGACCTAACATCTAACAAGCGTGCTGTTAGAAGACTGCGCACTGCCTGTGAGCGCGCAAAGCGCACGCTTTCTTCCTCCACCCAAGCCAGCATTGAGATTGATTCGCTGTTTGAGGGTATCGACTTCTACACATCCATTACCCGAGCCAGGTTCGAGGAACTGAATGCAGACTTGTTCCGCAGTACCATGGAGCCAGTTGAAAAGTCCCTTCGAGATGCCAAGATGGACAAAGCACAGATCCATGACATTGTCCTGGTTGGTGGATCAACCCGTATTCCAAAGGTACAGAAACTCTTGCAGGATTTCTTCAATGGGAAGGAATTGAACAAGTCTATCAACCCTGATGAGGCAGTGGCATATGGTGCAGCTGTACAGGCAGCAATTCTGGCGGGAGATAAGTCTGAGGAGGTGCAGGACCTGCTTCTGTTGGATGTGACACCCCTTTCTCTTGGTATTGAGACAGCCGGAGGGGTGATGACTGTGCTCATAAAGCGCAACACGACCATCCCCACAAAACAGACACAGACATTTACTACCTACTCAGACAACCAACCAGGTGTCCTGATTCAGGTGTACGAGGGTGAACGAGCGATGACCAAAGACAACAACCTTCTTGGAAAGTTTGAGCTGACTGGTATTCCTCCCGCACCACGTGGCGTTCCACAGATTGAGGTCACATTTGATATTGATGCCAATGGTATTCTGAACGTGACTGCTGTGGAGAAGTCAACAGGGAAAGAAAACAAGATCACAATCACCAATGATAAGGGCAGACTCAGCAAAGAGGAGATAGAACGCATGGTGAACGATGCAGAGAAATACCGAGCTGAGGACGAGAAGCAGAAGCAGACCATTTCTGCCAAGAACGCCCTAGAGTCGTACTGTTTCAACATGAAGAGTGCCGTGGAGGATGAGAAGCTGAAGGACAAGATATCCGAATCTGACAAAACTACCATCATGGACAAATGCAATGAGGTTATCCGTTGGCTGGATGCTAATCATCTTGCCGAGAAAGAAGAGTTTGAGTCTCAACAGAAGGAATTGGAAGCAGTTTGCAATCCCATCATGACAAAACTGTACCAGGGAGCTGGTGGCATGCCAGGAGGGATGCCTGGGGGTTTCCCAGGTGCAGGGGGGCCTGCACCAGGGGCTGGAGGAGCAGCTGGAGCAGGACCAACTATTGAAGAAGTAGATTAAAAATGATGGAATCCCAAAATATATTAACGCCAAGCTGTAAGGCCAAGGCTGGCTTCTTCAGATTTCCATGTGAATAATAATTTTGTCATACATTACAAGTTTGTTCAGGGTCACAGTACTATGTTGTGTTTGCTAGATACTTGGAACTATGTAACAGCTGTTTATGCAATTATTTATTGAATTACAATTAAAAGCACACGTTCCTTATATTTTTGAAGTTTTAAAACTATGTAACAGCTGTTTATGCAATTATTTATTGAATTACAATTAAAAGCACACGTTCCTTATATTTTTGAAGTTTTAAAACTATGTAACAGCTGTTTATGCAATTATTTATTGAATTACAATTAAAAGCACACGTTCCTTATATTTTTGAAGTTTTAAAACTATGTAACAGCTGTTTATGCAATTATTTATTGAATTACAATTAAAAGCGCACGTTCCTTATATTTTTGAAGTTTTAATTTGCTTTACATGCTCTATTCATTCTCTCTATCCATTGCTACAGCAGTCGCCTGCCTGAGTTGCAAGGAACGTAACTGACATTGTGCAATTTTTTTTTTTTGGTAAGGAAATATGGCTGGCTTATTATGTTTCAAGGGTTGTGAAAAGTAAGCGGTATTTAGCTAGCTACAGTATATACCTGAATGAACAGAGATCCAGCAGTAATCCTGATGTATTTTATTATATAAATGTTCCCTACCCATTGGTTAAATTGTGGTAACACGAGTTCAGGTTACTGGGAAAGTTTCGTATAACCTTGTCCTGTCTTTCCCCCCTATATACCATATTTACGCATGTATAGGCCGCACATTTTTTGCCAAAAATTCAAGAGGAAAACTGGGGTGTGGCTTATATTTGAAATCACACTTCATTTAAAAAAAATTATATTCATAATTAGTAATACAGAGTGTTCTACTCCTGAAATAATATTCCAAGAAAATTATTTTTTCTATAATTTGTCTGAAAATTGTGCTGCGGCCTATACATGCGTAAATACGGTACTGATATATTACAACTACAAAAAGGGACATTTTACATGAGAGCTTTACGAAGTTCAAGGCTACAGTCTGCTTGTATGTGACATTACAGTGTTTGGTAACAAGGTACCAAAATTTGGGAGGACCCTGAGTAGAAGACAGCACCCTATTCATATTACTATTTACCAGTATGCACTTTTGTGACATTCTTGTGTTTCTTCAAAGAATTTGAATTCATAACCTAAATTCTACGTTGCTTTACACACTGATTGTAGAAGTTCTTGATTATGTATGACCAGTGTCATGAGGCTCAGTTAAAATGGAAAGGGTAATTATATTTATAGGAGACAGTCCACCAGGTGCAATAACAGGAGAATATGAAAGCTTGCCTTTACATGTTTCAACTACTATTAGCCAGCACTATCAAGAAATGCTTTACTTATGTGATTGAACATAAATTGTCATAACAGGTCTTTACCAGCATTAGAAACTGAAATTATGTCAAAATAAGTTGGGGATGTTAAAAATAATCACTTAATTCAGATTAAAATGTCTTGTGTAAGTAGAGAAACATAATAAAGACTGCTTTCTTTATACCAGATTCTAAACGGTTCTGACGATGGTAGATGACGCAGAATTACTAGGTTTTTGGACTTTTCCCATCGTCTGGGATTCTACTGTAGCTTACAGAGAATATCTTGTAGACTATCATGTTGCATCAAATAAAGTTTGTTTTTCTTTGTGGCATCTAGATTCACATCATTGGCATAGACCAACAGCTGATGTGTCCCATTTAATTTCAGTCCCACCTGGTTTTCCTGGACCTTCCTAATGGCATATTCTAAAGCAAAGTTGAAAAAGAGTGGCGATAAAGTGTCTCCTTGTTTAGACCATTCTGGATAGGAAATCTATCAGACATATGTTTACCTACACAGACTTCACTATACATTTCGTTTAAACACATTTTAATCAACCTAAGTAGTTTCATGGGTATCCCAAACTCTTTATCAGAATATTGTAGGAGGAGCGTTCTGTATATAATGCCTCCTATTTAAAAAAAAACTACAACATACAGAAAGCATAATAATGCAGTTAAATAGAGCAAGATTTCAGCTACTTACATTTATTTTTCCACAATCACAGTTCGTTATGTACTTTTGCCAGTGATGAACAACAGCCCGCATGCCGTGCCCGTTGAAGTCTGCCCCAGCAGAGGCTAGCCAATTTCTTAAAAGCTGCAATGACAGCATCGTTGTCTGGAAAATGTTGCCCATGTAGTCCAGCTTTCATAGGCCCAAAGAGATGGAAGTCTGAAGGTGCTTAAACCGGGGCTATAAGGTGGATGTGGTAGGACAGTCCAGCTAAACTTTGCAATGTGCACGGTGGTTGCCAAACTGGTATGGGGTCTAGCATTATCGTGTTGCAAGCGAAAGGTTGTCTACGTCTCTGACCTGACTCGGGAAATGTGGGCTTTCAGCTTAGTAAGTGTAGTCTTTTAGCTTTCAGAATTGACAGTCTCACCAGGTTCCATGAAATCCAACAAAATCACACCCGCCTATCCAAAAAGACCATGCACATCACTATCCTTGCCGATGGCTATGTCTTGAACTTTTTTCTTGGGGAATCCGAATATCACCTCTCCACGGACTGTCTTTTGGATTCTGGCTCATAGTGGTGACACCACGTCTCATCTCCAGTGATGAAGCTGTCCAGAAACTTGTCACCTTCAGCCTCAAACTCGTGCAACAGTTCCTGACAGACTTCCATTCGACGAGTTTTGTGGTCCTGTGTAAGCATCCTCGGGACCCACCTGGAACAAACTTTGCAATAATCCAGCTTCTCCAACATCGTTTCCAATGCATTACAGCCGATATTAATCCATGCACACAGTTTCCTTGTCATTATCCGCCAATCTGTATGGATGAGCTGATCGAGGAGCTGTTCATTGTCAGGAGTGGCAGCTGAGCAGGGATGCCCAGGGCGTGGCTTGTTGTGCACTTCACTTTCGCCACTACCCACTGCCTCACTGTGCTGACATCCACTGTATTTTCTCTGTACAACCTTAGCAAGCATCAGTGGATGTCAATGGGTGAAATTTGTTCGGCAGTGAGAAAGTCAGTAACACATCTATGTTTCGTATGCACTTCTATGTCAGATGCCATTTCGTAGACTGCTCTTCTGTCGCTATCTGTCGCACAACAACCAAACTAACAGTACGTTGGTGGGAAAGTTCAACCTTTACTACAACACCAACATCCAGCTCAGACGTTACAGATTAACACAAAAAAATAGGAGGCATTATATATGGAATGCCCTTCGTACAATACTTCCCTCCTAACTGAATCATAGGCTTTCTAATAGCTGATGTACTGTCTCATTGTACTCCCATTTTTCTCCAATATCTGACAAATGCAAAAGATCTGATCTGTAGTTGATCTGTTACATTGAAACCCACACTGATGATCCACAATAATTTCATCTATATATGGACTTAACCATGAGAGAAGAATATTGGATAAAATTTTGTATGAAGTTGATAGCAGTTATATCCCCCGATAATTACTACAGTCAGTTTTATCACCCTTCTTTTGAACTGGTACAATAATAGACTCCTTCCACTGATAGGCAATTTTTTCTTATGCCAAATAGAAGTAATTAGATTGTGTATCTTAGAACATAATATTCTGCCTTCTGCCGGAATTTGACTGGTGATTTATACGGTTTCAATTTTGCAATAGCACTTTCAACCTCAAAAGGGCTAGCATCAGGTATTAACGGCTCAGCTGTATGGATTTCTGTCTGCCTAACATCACTGACCCTATGTACATTCAATAACTGAGAGTAGTAGTTCCTCCACCTATTCAAAATGTTGTGGGAATCTGCAGGCAGTCTGTCACACTAGTAAACTAAATTATAGAATAATTGACACCATCCAGTGTGATTCAATTTATAGATATTTATTGCTTTTACATGTTTCGGTCAGCTGACCATCTTCAGAAGGCATAAGATTATGTTCAGGAACTACTACTCGTATTACAGGATTCGTAACACATACTTAAAAGTTTTTATATAAGTTATTTACAGTTATCTGGATTAAAAAATCTCATTGATGTCTAATATTTAAGATCTTGAACTGATATAGTTTAAGTCCTTGTGCATCTTCTGTTAAAATGGAAAGTTGGGTTATTATTTGGAATTCTCAGAGGTCCTTGCAGTGATGCCTCAAAACACAGTAAAATGGAAACAACAAGACATCACAACGATACAGAACCATATCAAGCTAAAAAGAAAGGGGGGGGGGGCATCACTGCAGTACCTATGAGGGCTCCAAATAATACCCCAACTTTCTGTTCTAACAGAGATGTACAAAGACCCAAAACATACTGGTTCAAGATCTTAATTATTAGACATAAATGAGATTTTAATCCAGATAATTGTAAATAACTTATGTAAAAATTTGTAAGTATGTATTATGAAGTTTGTCTGCAGACAATTCAGTCGGCAAAAATGTTACCCACAATACACTGTACTCGGTCGTGCACATTAGATGCCCACAGTCCTCCTTTCATAGTACAATGAATACCTTTGCCACCCTGATCTTTTGTATTGCAGACGTTCTTACTCTGTTTTCAGAAATGTGTCTAATATCACTTCACTCATTTATCAGGAGAAAATTTCTCAGCGTAGCACATCAATCCAACATACCCTTATTGAAATGCACTGGACATTGTGAAATATAACATACACTGAAGACATTCATAAGTGTTTAGAAGAGCTAAGTTGGGTAAACTTGAACACATGTTTCTTTCTGTCAGAGTTATTTGTTTTCAACATCCTAACTTTGTTCACAACCTACACTTGAAAGCTATATAAAACATAGATTTTCAGCTACATTAATCTATTATATATTACATATAGCAGGCAATAATACTGATGTTTTCACATATTATTAGTTGCAGTAGTATGAAGAAACCCAAGAATATGAAATACACTCTTGTTAGCAAGATAAATATTGGATATAGTAATATATCAAAAGCAATAAAATAATTGCAGAACTATGACAAACCTCATGGATCTGAAATATACTCATGTTTAGAAGAGTAATATGAATGGAATAACACAACCGAAGCACTGTAATGACCCTTAACTCCATGGATCTGAGTCACTCTTGAGAAGCAAACAGTTGCTCATTCACACAACAGACTTCCAGCATTTATGGAACCCAGAGGATCATTACTGTGTTAACACCCACCACTGTTCTCTATCCTGAGCAAGGTGAATCCAGTCTACACACCCCAATCCTATTTCTCTGAGATCAATTTTAATATTATCCTCCTATCTATATCTATGTCTTCCCAATGGTCTGTTTAATTCAGGTTTTCCTACCAAAACAATGTACCCACTTCACTTGTCTCTGCCCACCTCATCCTCCTTGACTTGATCATTCTAATTTGGTGATTATTACAACT